AGCTGTGGTTCTGCACAATACACAAACATCATTCACGAAACTCACCGCATTTGTTTTGCCAAACTCAAGACCACCGTACCTACTCACAACCCCATCGCTTCCACCGAAACAAATACAGTATGTTTTACACATCACATGAAACATATTTCCTTCCATTACCAAACATACTATCCCTCCAAGTACAAACTAAAATCTTTCAAGTACCCAAAAACAAAAAATCCTTCAAGTACCAAAAAAATACAGCTACGACAAAACTCGTCACGCTGACTCTTGCGCCACTATCTTCCTCCGCCTGCTGATCCCACACAAATGCCTTCAGTTCCACACCCCTTATTTGGGGAGTAATGTGAGCAAGAATCAGATTGCAGGATCAAAAATAAAATAAGAAATTGTAAAGAATTATTTGTGAAAAAGGATGTGTGGTATTCAAAAAGTTTAATTCCTCCACAAGATGTATCTTCCTCTCCACCAAACAGAGATGAAGTTTAGTCCCATCCCCGCATTTTGCCATAAAGATATTACCTTTCTCTTTGGTTTCAGATGGTACAGACTTGATTTCTTGACTCTCCTTCTGGTGTCTCTCATATCTTCATCTGACTGTTCAATATCTCCATGTTGCATTCACTGGATCCACCCCTAAGAAAACAAATGATTTCATTTAACGATTTAGTTCACGGCAGAGTTATAACCAGGTATAGCCCTGAAAACTGGAGATCAACAAACACACAGTGGGTATTCCGAAACAAGCAGGTTCTGTATTTAGTGTTCAACTGAGCGTGGGGCGGGGAAGTAATAAGTAGTTCTTTAAACTTGAGTATTTATTGACAACTTTGTACTTTTAAACTTATCAATTATTAACTGATAATTAAGATCAATATCACACAGTTGTTGAGGGATTAGTTATTTCGTATATTTTAATACACATAGATGATGAAACCTACATTTTTCTAAAAAGCTATTACACACTAAGATAAAAAACACAGAACATATATTCTCATCTCTGCTTGCGAACTAGCAATAGCTACACTTGAGCTGGAAGAAGAACGGGTTATCTCCCAAGGCCGAACACCTAAGTTCTGACAATTGCCCCTAGTTTCATAAAATGATATTATATGAAAAGGGAAAAGAATGGCGGGAATTACTAAGGTCTTTCTTTTAGGGCGCTGTCTTCCTCGGAATTGGTTAGGTCGTGCTGCCAAGAGGCTGGGAACCAGCCCAGTGCAGCAACAAGGAAGCACCAGTCTAAACCAACGGTTTGTTTCCCATCAATATAGTCCACCCAATCACATTGCTTGCTATAATAAATAGCACCTCCTTGGTAAAACTTTTGATCAGGAACTCTTTTTGGGGCGAGGAAAACTCTCCACCTGACTGTGGCTTTCTCAATCCAAAAAAGATCCTTGGCCCAGTATTACTTTAATTAATACAATTCTAAATAAACTTCTAACTGAGAGAAGTTGTTTGTCTTATTCCTAAAGATAATTTTGATACACGACACAGTGATTCACATATCCATTAAAAAAACTAAAATAAAAATAAAACAACAACAGTTCCAGTCTTCAGCTTTGGTGACAGATTTATTCAGGCTTGAGACTTCAAATCTGACCAGAAAATACAGGTAATTTTTAGAAAATAAATGCTCCTCTATAATGACGATCACTAAGGGTTAAAATTAACATCTTACCTGTAGGTTGATTTCAGCTGCATTCTCCTCCATCTCTTCAACTGCAGGTTAAAGTAAGAAAAAGCAGATTGTACAATTGGATTAGTTAGAGTGCTCATTTTCTGTGATAAATTATTTTTTTCTGAAGGTGAATTTACCAGGGTTAGAAGAGACATAATATCATCTCAGTCAACCAGAAACAATGAAACTTTACAGTTTTTCTGACTTTGCTTCGGCACAAATGTCTAATGAAAATCAAAAGTCTAAAAATGTGACTGTCCCTTGTTGGTTGCCAGTGGACTGATTCTACACATGCGTTCCTAGGATGCGTGTCCACTTTTCTACAAAAATCCAAAGGATGTGAAGTTTATGTGCCCAAGTTCTTTCTCTCTTCATCAGTACAGTGTCAACAGCCAGCAACCGCTAACGTTAGCTTGTAAATCAAGTCCAATAATGTGTACAAATGACTGGCACCCACCACAAATAAATAATGTAAAACAAATAAACGAATGAAAAAATTTATATTTATATTTATTTATGTATGTATCTATGTAATTTTTGTCCTAGATACTGAGCTTTATTTAAGGAATACAACAATTAGCTACATGGACCAGGCATTGGAGTACTGCGGAGGTATGTTCACCAACCAGTCACTAAGTGTGCTGTTTGGTGGTAAGCAGGGAGTGTACAGTGGGTTCCAGATTTAAGGGGACTACTCGTGTGAGTAACTAAATACATGTACATACAAATGATCCCGAGAGTAAATTAGCGTGAGATACGCTAGGCGAATATTTGCTTTGCCTTTGGTGGAAACACACCATTAGACACTTTTTCTCTGAAAACACCTGCCTTGTTGTCAAAACTATGAAAATGATGATAGACAGACAGCTAAACAACAAATTCGCTTTGAAGCTCTTTAAAGCTTAGAGCTATTCCTATTATATGAACTATTATTCAAGTTATGTCCACATTATCTTGTGTACCGGCAGTGGTGGTGTGAATGTGAAACATTAAAAGCTCACCTGTTTGATTGTGCTGAAACACTGAGGAATCCATCATTTCTTCCTGCTCTTTTTTTTCACACATCAGTCCACTGTAGCAGTGGGGATCGTTTTCAGAGACCATGACATCTATTTTTTCCAACAGAGCTATTATCTCTTTTTCATCCATTAAACTTCTTGTACATGTTTGGAATCTTTTTTCTACAAAACTGCTGTTGGCTTTCAGGTCTGTCAACGCACTTTCACATTTTTCATCTGACTCATAAGTCACAGCTGTTATTAAATAAGAAAGTGATCCTTTACCAAAAGCTTTCTCTAACCACTGCACTCCTGAACCGTAATGGCTGTTATGTAGACCATTTGGTAACAGTAAGACAAAGGCATGAATTTCCTGATTTAATGGGAATTCGTCAATGTGTTGTAGACCAAGCATGTTGATGACAGAGATGTGGCGACCACAAAAGTCATACAGTTTGGTTGAAAACTGTTTCACATTCACTTGCTCGTCATGGTCAAGTAAGATGTTTTTTGATCCGGTCTCAATGGAATTTGTGTCACCAATTAACACGATTGTGAGTTCAGGCATCCCTGTAACAGAGAGTAACATGTTAAACTGCAGTAATCACTGAAACAACACTGTCGAAGGTAGACAGACAGCAGAAATGCACTGACACAATAAAAGTGAATAATCTAATTCTGTTAAAAACTCCACTGAAATATAATCTATAAAATCCATGTGACTGTACAATAAATTCTTGATTAAAATGTTACCTTTCTCTCTGGTTGTGGATGGTACTGACTCCATTTCAGACTCTCCTCCTGTGTTATCGTTCTTCCTCCTGTGTTGAGTTTCACCTGGTTCATTCACTGGATCAAACTGAGAGAACAGGTGATTTTATCTTTTAAAACTCACTTCTCCAGGTTAGACCCACTGAGATCACAATGTGTTTTATTTTTTTATTTTTAATTAATTTTTTTGGTCTTTTATTGCCTTTTAATCGATAGCAACAGCTTAAGACAGACAGGAAACGGGGGTAGNNCAGCAAAGGGCCGCAGGTCGGACTAGAAATCCTGGGCAGCTGCAGCAAGCAACCCAAAACCAAGGAATCGGCATCAAGATGAATATATACTGAAGCTGAACAGTGTTGCACTAATACAATAGCATTTAAAGTAAGAGCAAGGTAAAGCAATACAACAGCATACATTTTTTTTTTCTAAACTTTGGTCCTCCAATGTCAAACCAGGAGGTTCACGAATGTACAGATTTCCACTTCTATGAACATTTTCATCACTTAAACTTTAGGAAGGACTCTCTATGCAAAACTCTCACACAACTTTAGAAAAGGGGAAACTGTTAAAGAACAAAAGAAAAGCAGCTATAAGATAATAATGACTAATGTAGGTGAAAGAATATTTACCTTTACCTTGGCTGCTCTCTCCTCCATCTCATCTACTGCCATGTAAGAAAAAGAAAACATATATAGGATCAGCATAAATCAACATATTTGGTTAGCTAACTCTCCTAGTTTATGAAATATCATTTTCAAAATGTTAAAAGACCTTTGTCATTTGGTGTCATAGATTCAGTTTCAGACTCTCCTCCTCCTCCTCCAGATATTGAGATAACGAAACTTTGTTTTC